GGACATGGATCTGCAAGAAGAACGACACAAACGAAAGACGACAACGTCAGAATTCGCTTTCCATACTCAGTGACGACACAACAACTACAACAACCGACAGCGGCAGCCGAAGCCAGTACCTCCGTTTTGTCACATCTCCAAGACATCAGGGCACCCACGCACGCACTGCCCGAATCGACAACAGTTAACTGCCTTGCAGCGGCAACTACGACCTTCAAGCAGTCAAGTGACTTCAACACAGGCGAACCCGACGACTCAGGTCCAAGCTGTCAGAACATATAGCTTACTTGTTTCTGTAGGCTATAGTGGGGTATCCCATAGGGGGTACAACCCCATAGGGTTTCCTATTTGTACTCACTTCATTTCATAGTCATTCATTCCTGTTCCTTACTTTCACACAAGCCTCAACTTCACCGGGACAACCTGCACAAGGAGCAAGAAACATCATCAGCTGCATGGCAAGACTGAGCGAATCCTGCATCACCGAGTCACCGCCACATTACTCACCAGAAGACCATCTCGATAACACCACACCTCGCCGCGAAGCACTCAAACCAAATCCAACGTACGCCGCCATCGCCCAAAGCGAGCCTTCAGGGACAGACATGTGGTTCTTGGACAGCTGTTGCGGACAGCACATGTGCTCTTCAGGACGCTTTGTACAACAAGAATACCAGCTTCAACGGGAAGTCGTCATAACAGTCGCCAACAACCAGAACCTGCGCACACGATGGCAAGGAATCGTACAACTTCAGTCGCGAGAGACAAACGTCATACTACAGATGTCAAAGGTTTTAATTGCAGAAGGCCTCGGCTACAACTTACTGAGTGTCAGTCAGCTGATGGCGAAAGGTATTCACCTCGAAGCAGACAGCACCATCCAGGAGTTCAAGTTGTATCATGGGAGAGGAGGTCTCTACATCGGGAAGGCGGTCCTCAAGAACAACGTCTTCGTCTTGGACTTCGTTCCCGATCTTGGCACCGCCGACAGTGACGCCATAGTTAACTTCACCAACTGGACACACCCTCCGGACCTTGACCCTGACTTCAGTCCGGGCGGCTTCTGGTATTCGTATACCATCCCTGAGACAGAGCGAACAAGGGCATTAGCAACAACATCGGCAGCAGCAGAGACAACATCGGGAGCAACAGGAACAACATCGGCAGCAGCAGAGACAACATCGGGAGCAGCAGGAACAACATCGGCAGCAGCAGAGACAACAACGGCACCAACAACAACACCAGTCGCTGGTCCATCAACGGCACCAGTCCTCGTTGACGACGCTTCACCGACACCTGCACAACAGTTTCAGCCAGCACCACGAGAGTTTCATCACAGCCCCAACTTCACCACCAGCTTCTACTCCAACTCGGATCTGTACCGACGATCACCCGGACACCGTGCCGACGAAGCAACCTGGCACGCAAGAATGGGACATCCAAGCAACACAGTGTTAAACAACACAATACGAGCAGGAGTGCTCGACAAAGACTCACTCCTATTAACCAACGGACAAGAACTCCAACGCGTACGCGGCACATGCTTCACCTGCCCAGAAGGAGACCTACCTCATCAACCGTTCCCATCGCACCACAACCCAAGTGCACCAGCTTACACACCACTCGAAAAGGTGTACAGCGACATCCTGTACAACCGTGAACCAGGGCAGAATACGTACCTCTACACGATTACCTTCATCGACGCCGCAACACGCTACGTCTGGCACCTGAATCTCCCAAGCAAAGATATGGCGTTCGAGGCGTTCGTCGCGTGGCTTCCCGTAGCAGAGCGGGAATCGGGCGTCAAGTTAAAAAGCTTCCAAACAGACGGAGGAGGAGAATATACCTCGACGAGGTTCAAGAACTACCTGGCTGAGAAAGGCATCAAGCGCCTCATCTCCCTTCCTTACGCCCATCAACAACAGGGTGTAGCAGAAAGGCTGAACAGGACCCTCCAAAACACCATGCGGAAACTGTTACGTGGCATGCGGCTTCCCAACCACCAGTGGCCAGAAGCGATGGACCACGCTGTAATGCTACACAACTTGCTCTCCTCGTCGTCACTCCCGAACAACGCATCACCGCATCTGCTGTGGACCGGGAAATTGGGCAACACAAAAATGTTACGAGTTTTTGGGTGCATGGTACAGTACCGACCACCATCTGCACGGGCCGGCCGATTTTCGCAACGAGCACAGTGGGGGCTACACCTGGGCATCGAAAAACACTACAACGCATGGAAAATCTTCGACGTCCACACGAAGGAAACAGTGGCAGCACGTGACATCATCTTCTACGAACGACTCACCATGCAAACTTATCTTGCCAACCTGGACGAGAATCGAGACCCCACAGGTGGTTTCCGCGGCAACCGAGCCTTCGCATCGGCAGAAGACGAAGCTGACTGGGACGAGCAGAACGTGGAAGGAGCCTCGGAAGCAGCCGGACCACTCCCGTACTGCTCCGTCAACGTCCCCATGGATGACGAAAACCCGCGCGACAGTAACAACGCCGAAATCTACTACCATTTCGCCGACAACGGTTACGTAACACCTGCAAGAGTCAACACCGACGAAGCTGAACGCATAGGACCAAACTTCATACCTGATCCAGAAGAGGGAGACGAAGCAGCCTATCCCGAGGACAACACTCTCCCCGGCACACTCCCCCGCTACAAACAGAGTGGCCTCCAAATCCTTGGACTCGTCACCGCAGTCCATGGCGCCGCCATTCCTAAAGAGCCTGCGACGGTTCAACAGGCTCTGGGGGGGGAACATAGGGAGAAATGGCGTGAAGCCATGGACAAAGAGCTGAAGGCACTGGAGGAGCGCAACACCTGGAAAATCGTTCCCATCGGCGTAGCACAAAACAAGACTATCCTTACCGGGAAGTGGGTCTTCCGTGTGAAGACGAAAGCTGACGGCACCATCGACAAATTCAAAGCTCGCTGGGTCGTGCGCGGCTTTGACCAGGAGCTCGGAAGAGACTACACCGAAACCTTCGCTCCGGTCAGCCGTCACACCTCACTCCGAATCCTCATCGCCATCGCCGCCATGAAGAAAAAGAAACTGCGACAAATCGACGTCGCAAACGCTTTTCTCTACGCACCTGTGGATGCAGAAATCTTCGTCGAGCTCCCGCACGGCTCCCACGGTGAACCCAATCAAGTCTGTCAGCTGCTTAAGTCGCTCTACGGGATCAAGCAGGCACCGCGACTGTGGCAGCAGTACCTGCACACCCGCCTTATCCGCATCGGTTTTAAACAACTCCCGCATGACCAGGGCATGTACCGCCTCACAAAGGAAAGCGACTACGTTCTCCTGATCGTCTACGTGGACGATCTCCTCTACATTGGGTCAACCAACGGCATCGCCACGTGGTTCGAAGGGGAGCTGCAGAAGGACCTTACCCTCACCGTCTCATCTACCGTCACGCAATATCTCAGACTCAACATCCGAGAAGGGAAGGACGCGATCTACCTCAGCGCCGAGAAATACGCCGACACCATCGCGAAACGCTTCGGTCTCACACCAAGCGCCCTCTCCACGCCGTACCGCTACACGTCAGGAACCGAAAAGGAACGATCTATTCTACTCAAGCCTGCCGGCATACGCGACTATCAGAAGAAGCTCGGGTGTCTTCTCTTCGCAGCAGTCACATGCCGTCCCGACTTATCCTACTCCGCGAGTCAGCTCGCCACCTATCTCAAGAAGCCTGGAGCAGAGCATCTGGCGGAACTCGATCGCGCTCTCCACTACTTCGTCAGCACCGCGACGATCGGACTAACTTATCACAAAAACGCAACTACACCGACCAAGCTAATCGGCTACGTCGACGCCGATCACGCCGGCGACACCGACAATAGGCGCTCACGCACCGGCTATGTCTACCGCCTCGAGCCTATCGGTCCTATCTCCTGGCAGTCGAGTAAGCAGGAGTTAATCGCACTGTCTTCAGCTGAAGCGGAATATATCGCACTCTGCTCAGCCACCAAGGAGGGACTTTACCTTCGCGAACTGCTGGAAGAAGCGAAGTTAGCCGAGTTACCCAGCTTCACCGTGTTCTGCGACAACCAGTCAGCAATTCACATCGCCAACAAGAACGGCTTCGCAAACAGGACGAAACACATTGCCCTGCGCTATTTCTTCGTGAAGGACGAGATCGAGAAGGGGAAACTCGAACTGTCATACTGTCCCACGTCTGAGATGGCAGCCGATTACTTGACCAAGAAGCTCGGAAAGCAGAAGTTCGAATACTGCATGCTGCTGACTGGACAGAGCCACGTCACCAGTAGCGACACTCCAGAAGCGAAGGGGAGTGTTGGAAACAATGGAACTTAAACGCTTCAGCAGTGTCAAAACATTGCACCAGAAGCGAGGCAACCTACACCGAAGCACCTGCGAGTCAACCCTCGGAGGTTGAATCGGCTGCAGGAAGTTACGCAAAAGTCAAAGGTCGCTGACCCTTGACCTGACAAGAACAGCGCGACAGTTAAGGACACACAACTGACTCGTTACAGAGCAGTTGCCCGAGTCGCACTGTATCGAACCGCAACAGCAACAGTAAAAGTAGTTATAACCGTATCTCTTCATATTCCCTGTATTATTATATAAGCTTGTATCCTTTCACTATAATTCAATCTACTTTGCTCTCACACACTAGTGCAAGGTCGGTTCACAAAGCTTCATTAAACGCTTCCGCTATTACAAAGTATCCTACCCAGAGTTATCCTCTGTAAAGATCCTTAGGGCCTTTTCAGCCCAACACCATCAAGACATCCCATCCCACACCCCATCCCCCCCTCCCCCCTTCAATCACATCAACGTATCGACCATGTACGGGGCCTCCACCCAGAGTGCCCCGCCTTCCACATCGACATCGTCCCTCTCCCGATCCACCAAATCTACGTTAATCCCCCCCATGGAAGACGCTGCTCGAAGCAGGATGACACGGGCTTGCGCCCGTTGTAACGCCACCCCGATGAGCGTCTTCAGTGACCCTTAAAGATAAGCCGAAAACACAGAGTCGTCCTCTCGACAAGCCCCCCGCGACACAGCTAGTCCCACGTGCGCATCCCCCTGCTGATGAAGCCACCGCTGAAAACGACCGCCGAGACACCCCCACGTCTCAACTATCAAAGGGGTGAACTGCACGCCCCGGTTGCGTGCAAGCAGAGGCGAGTAGTCACTTGTTTTGCGGCGCTCCCACTCCCTTGCCGCCACACCTATTTGACGCCTGCACTGTCCCAGCAGTGATGGAGACAGCGATAGCGGGTCCGCGACGCTGATCTCTAGGGCGTGAGCCTCTCCAGCCATTGGACGTCGCACCGCCACATCAACCCGCTTCCCATGCAGCACCACACCATCCTCCATTGTCACCACCCCCCTCGACGCCTTAGAGATCTTCGCCACCGCAAACTTCACCTCATCATGCACCCGAGAAGGACCATGCTGATGCCTGCATCTCAGGGCATGGTGCGGATCTGCTGGGTCAACAAACGTTGTGCCACAAACACACCTCCCCGCCACCTGCAGCTGCTGGATTGGGAGGCCGAGCCGTATAGCAGCAGCAATGCCCCACTCAGCCGCAGTGAATGTGAGATCTGAGTGAGCCGGAACCGCCGAAACCCATGCACCTGCCCCCGGGCCCTGAAGGGATGTGAAACGGGCCAAGGTGGCATCGTCACGAGCCAAGCGGCGCAGTGCATGGAGCTCCTCTACAGCTAACTGCCGCTGCCGCGCCTGGAAAAGCCGAACAGGAGGGGCCGCTACACACAGAGGTAAGCCCGGTATCTCGTGGCGGATAGTCGCTGGCAGCTTCTCAAGAGCCTTGACAAACCACGAGTCAAGAAACTCTGCCCCTGTCGAAGTGGTGAGGTACTCTGCAAACATCGCCTCCTCACCCGCCACCCCTAACTGTGCAATGTCACGCGCGGCCTGCGCCCACCCACAAACATAGGACAGTGGGCTCAAAGAGGCCGCCGCCCGGATCCCGAACCCTCCGAGACGCACAGGGAGATGCAGCTGTATGCGTGCGCGCCTAGACTGGTCGGGGTCCTGCTCCCAAGTGCCAGGTGGAAAAAGCTGCTCAAAGCAATCCTCTAAACAGCTGTCCCAATCCCTAAAAGCCTCAACTACCTCCGGACGCGGCGGCATAGTCCGGGCGAGGAAATGGTGAAATGCTTATCCTTTCATGCTGTTAGTCCCTGTTCACCTGGGTTTGCCACGTACGGTAGATTGTTTGCTTTGATCTGCTTTTGATTATCACCGTAGTGAAAATATTTCAATGTTTCTTCATGGGAAATAGTTAGGCACAAGGAAAATAGTCATGCAAATTAAATCCAACACTGTCAATACAGTAAGACCAAGAATTTGCCCTCCCTGAAACTAACCAGATTCTGTAATTTGGATGACAGATACCCCACCCTCTGCTCCCCCCTTGTCTCAATCTCCCTCAGACACACTAGAAGCCTTAGCCATCAGGCGTGCAAGTTAGGCACAACACATTCTCATACTAAGCATCTACTCTCCCTGAAACTAACCAAATCCTGGAGTTTGGAAGACAGATACCCAACACTGTGCTCCCCCCTTATCTCAATCTCCTTCAATACACTAGGAGCCTTAGCCACCTCCTCTGGTAACCCAGTCAGGTTGCTCCAGTCTATAAAGCGTATGAGGGAAAGAGAGGGGGCAAGGGAGAGTGAGGGAGGGATGGTGGTGAGCCAAGAGAGAGGAGGGAGGACGAGAGTGTGGAGGGTGGGGATGAGGTGAAGGGAAGCGAGCAGGCTGCTGTTGGCATGGATGTTGCAAAGGCGAAGGGTGAGCGGAGGAGCAGCAGCAGTAGCACCTCCTGTAGTCACACTCTCCACAGTCACGTCGGCTGCAGTCACTGCATCAGCAATTGTGGCACTGTCCAAAGTCACGCTGTCTACAGTCACGCTCTCTTCAGCGTTTTCAATTATCAGGTCTGTGAGGCTTGGAAGGGGTGCGAGGCGAAGGAAGAGAGGGAGAGGCATGGAGGGGAGGGAGTTCAGCTGCAGCACATGCAGATGGGGGAAAGGGGGAAGGGGTGCGAGGGGAGTGGAGAGGGAAGGGGGAGCAGCAAGTTGAGCGGAGGACTGGGTGCAGGGAGTTTGAGTGGAGTGTGAGGAATGTGGGGAGTGTGGGGAGAGTGAGGGAGGGAGGGGTGGGGAGAGGGACAGGTACTTCAGGTTGGGAGCTTCTTGGGCCAAAAGAGTGAGCACCTCTGCTGCCTGCTGCTCCACTGTACCCCGGTCACCGCTGCTGCTGCTACTGCTGCCAACGCCGATGCTACCACCGCCATCACCCCTGGCGCTGTTTCTTCTGCTACTGCGCCTGCCGGCTTCCTCACACACGCTGATGGTGAGCGAGCACAGCTGCTCCAATTCACGCTGCTGCTGCTCCCCCTGGCCTGAAGAACACAGCTGATGACGATGGCGCACGTGCCTGTGCGTGTGCAGCAGTTGGCACAGGCAGAGGGGCGCGGGAGACTCGGTTGCTGCACCGCTACCACTGCTAGCACTGGTAGCACCGGTTTGTGAGGACGAAGCATGCAGGCAGATTGGCTGCTGGGCCGAGCTCAGTGGTGCTTGCGAGAGAGGGAGAGGGGCTGGGTTGGGGTGGAGAGCGGTGGAGAGGGAGAGGGAGAGGTGGCGCAGGGAGGGGAAGGCGGAGAGGGAGGCGAGGAGCGCGGAGGGGCAGGCGCGGGTGTGACAGAAGCGGATGGAGTGGAGGGAGAGGCGCGTGACTGAAGGGAGGTGTGCGCCAAACGAGGGGAGGAGAAGGTAGGCGATGTCTAGCTGGAGCGTGCTGAGGGCCGCGAGTCGTGAGCGCGGGAGGAGGGAGGTTGGAGGGGAGTGTGCAGGGGTGGAGGCGCGAGGGGAGAGTGGAGGTGTCACTGCCGGACTAGAAGGTTTGTGGCAGCGCAGCTGGGGGTGAAAGGCAGGTAGAGGGTCGCTGGAGGAGGCGTGGGAGAAGGGGCAGTGCGTGGCGCCGGCAGCACTCACATGGCGCGACGAGAGACCAGCAGCAACGGACGCAACACCAGCTGTAGCACTAGCAGGAGGAGCAGCAGCCGCAGCAGCACCATCGATAGCAGCAGCTGCACGTGCAGCAGCAGCACGTGGCGGAGAAGGAGAAACGTTCACTCCCTTCACTTTCACCTCCTCTGACTGCTGCACCTCTCCCTTCAACGGCTCCGATTGCATCTCGCCGCTCGAGTCCGTGTCCTGAATCGGAGGGGCTGAGAGCGGTGCGAGGACCTCGAGGGTCGTGAGACGGCTCATCCGCGCCACGTGGCAGTACACGTTACAGTCACACTCGCTACAGCACGACCCGGTATCCAGCCGGAGCGACTCCAGGCCAGTCAGCGACCACAGCGACTCGGGGATGACTGCTGACGTAGAGTGACGGCGGCTCCCTGCGTGGCGACTCGGTTCGTCCTCGTTATAAGACCCTGTAGGCGCATGGTGCTTAAAGAAGAGAGCGGTTAACGACGGCGCAAGGCCAGCGAAAAGGGCCGGCGAGAGGACGGCAGGGGAGTGCGGCAGTGCTGCGTCAAGCTGCGTCGGCAGCTGTAGGCCGGCCATAACGTGCAGCTCGTGCGGAGTGAGCGATACGCTATCAGACGATACGCGATCCGGCGGTGGCGGGTGATAAGTGATCGTCAGGGAGAGCGACTCGAGGCAGGCGAGATGGGAGAAGGGCGATCCGGATTGTAGGATGGGCTCCGCGGGGAGGGAGAGCGAGAGTGAGAGGCGCTTGAGACGCTTAGCTAAGAAAAACGCTTTGGGAAGAAACACGAGCGGGAGAGCAAGGCTCGTGAGGCGGGAAAAGCAGTGCGCGGCGATCCTTGGAAGAAAAACATTGCTGCCGTCTCCGCCGTCGCTGCCGCCGCTACCGATGCTGTCGAGTTCGTTCAGCACGGCGAACCTTCCTTGCAGGTACAGCGCCGTGAGTCGCGGACAACCTCTCGCTAATGTCTCCAGGCCTTCCGCTAACCTACCCGTGCCTCTCACATCGGGTCGCGATACCACCTCTAAGGCGCACGACTCGAGCGACTTCAATCCACCACCGTCCGGCTTTAGTCCTCCCTCGTCAATGCTGCTACCAGCGACACGGCTCTTCCTCTCACCTCCTAGAATCTTCAGGATCGGGCCCAGATGTTCCGCGCGGCATGCCAAGCCGACGCTTAGCAGGTTGGGGACCTGCCGAACCAGCATCCGAACCTGGCTTGGCGACCATTCCTTTGGGGAGCTCCACAATCCGTGAGAGAGCAGCGATTCTTCGCCACGTGGCAGAATGCAATTGGCTCCTCCCGGCGCCGTAATCGCCGTCCAGCTCTCGATTATGGAAGGATCGCGACGCGCGACGAACCCACGGTTGCTGACGTCAGCCAAGAAGAGACTGGAGTGCGCTTGAACGGGATCGAAGACCGTGGACACGTGGCGCACGGCCATTGGAGAGACGCGACGCCATGCTTTGCAGACGCAGAGAGCGGAAACGACGTCCTTGCGATCGTGAAGCTTCTGAAGGATCTTCGCGACAATCGCATCGTCCATTCGTGAAATGGGGGACTTCAACGACGACTCGTCGTCTTCCGTTACGTGCTTCCGTAATATCGTGCTCTCGCAGCCCATTTCCATTTCTTCGGGTCGCCCGCTGTAAGGCGATCTCGATGCGCAAAATTGCCACACTTTCTAATATAGCCCAAGGTCAACGATGGCCAAATGCTAGTGGGTTCCAGTAAGAACAAGCGAGGAGCTTGACGACAGGCACCTTCTCTGCAGCAATCAGAATTAGAAAACCGTTATCAGAATTTTACTGTATGCACTCGCATGTGCAGAAAGAAGAGACAACTAGGTTGGGCATGGGCTGGCGGGAGAGCACAGAAATAGGAAGCTTTTAGGAGGGTGGTGGGAGAGGTGGCAGGAAACAGACTACGAGGGGAGATGGTTGGTTTTGAGGTCAAGAAGGCAGACTAGTGAAATGTTCACGAACTGGTCAGAGCAGTTTGGCAAGGCGACGCGGCGACGTCGTTAGGCGGTGCGGTGAATGCGCACCGCGCAGAGACAAGGCACCAGTTGTATACCGCTGACCAGCAACAGCCACGTGGCGGAATTGACTAGTCAGCAGCTGTCTCAGTGAGGGAACCAGAAAGCGGCTCCAATTGGCTGGAGTTTGTGTACGTCTGTCGGTTCACACGTGCTATAAAGACGACAGCACTTTGTGGTTGTGTGGTACGAGGCGCATCGCGGTGCTTTTCACGCACTTCACCACCCTGTCGGTGAGCCAACTCAGCATCGAGAAGACGTAGAATTCGTGCGACCAGCACAGCAAATAAAATATTGGTCCCGCTTTGCATTTTATCGGATTGGGCCCTTGGATGTCACGCCGACCAGAAATGCGCACCGCTTTATAGTGGGCGACCTCGTTAGAGTGTTGAAGTCCTGCCAGTTATCGATCCGCATCTCGGTACCCCTACAATAAATAAAGACGAATTTTCAGTCTCTATTGCTTAACTCAAACCTTTAAAACCATGTTCCCAGAATCCCAGAATCCCAGACTCACCCACATTGGTTTACTTAGCGAGCACATTGCCGCACACTTTGTCGAAATTAGTGTGCACATTGCCTAATCCCAAAACTAAGATGATTTGCAAGATGAAGATTCAGCAAGCTAACATTGGCCATGTCAGTCAGACTTCGAGCTTGCATATGCAAGCAAAATGGCAGACACTACGACAGGAGTAATGATAATCGTGAGGGCAACAGCCAGGCTGGGTGACTCTGTAAGCTGCGGCACAATGAAAAGGCTTCCGTATTTTATTGCCACCGCTCCCACCACACACCCCCCTAAAGCTTTGGCGAAGTATGGTCCATCGTCCTGATGCAAGGTTGGAGGGAAATGGGACAAGGTTGAGCAGGGGGGGGGTGCGCACAAAATGTGAGGTGGACACATAGCCTTGCATAGCCTGATGGAAGGATAGATAGTGCTAGAGCATGATGATGTATAGTAGCACATTATGATATATAGTAGCACATGATGATATATATATATATATATATATAGAAGGACATGATGATATAGTAGCACATGATGATAGATAGTAGCACAAGATGATGATGATGATGATAGATATAGATAGATAGATAGATAGATAGATAGATAGATAGATAGATAGATAGATAGATAGATAGATAGATAGATAGATAGATAGATAGATAGATGGATGGATGGATGGATGGATGGATGGATGGATGGATGGATGGATGGATGGATGGATGGATGGATGGATGGATGGATGGATGGATGGATGGATGGATGGATGGATGGATGGATGGATGGATGGATGGATGGATGGATGGATGGATGGATGGATGGATGGATGGATGGATGGATAGATGGATGGATGGATGGATGGATGGATGGATGGATGGATAGATAGATAGATAGATAAATAGCTGGACAGGCTGGCAAGGCGGCAAGGTAAAATTAGGAGGGACCAGGCAAACCATCTCCATCACCCTTCAAATCTAATAATCTGCCTCCTTCCCCCCTTCCTCCCCCTTCCCCTCGCTCCCCGCCTCCTCCCTTCCTCCCCCCCCCCTCACCCTCTCACCTCCACACTCCTCCCCCTTTCCCCCTAACGCCTCCCCCACACACGGCTACCCTCAGCGGGGATTACCTTGGAAAATAGGGGGCGTTTCTCGTCCGCGTGCCCACGTCCCTGTCCGCTTTCACCCTTGCTCGATGCCCTCATCGCCACTCCTGCACTCCTGCGCGGAACCCCCAAACTCCGAAGCTGCCGCTGCTGCTGACCCTCGCGCCGCACAGGGAAAAAGAGTGAATGCGACGATAAGGGTTGACGGGGTGCTGTGAGCACAGCAGAGGCTGACGTCGTTGGTACGGACGTCATTGTTGCTGCTGACGTCATCGTCGGTGGTGAGGCACGTGGGTTTTTGTCAGCGGCGGAGCTGGATGGACGAGGCGGGAGATAGGGCTGGAGGAAGGTGCGGCGGGGATGGTAAGTGGCAGCAATCTAGGGTAAATGTTAGCGGGAGATATGGCAGGATTGCTGTAGGTAGCACTGGACCTCAAAGTAAGGAAATTTCGTCGTGGAAGTCGAAAAAGAGTGGGAAACAAACCCGACAATGAGACAAACCGTTATAGCTCGTCGAGGAAAGTAATTAACAACTAGCAGCTAACTAGGTTCAGACAAATAACAAAACGGAATGAGAGGAAGCTCCTGCGGGCCCTGCTCTGAAAGGTGCTGCTCGACAGGTCGCCCGATGCGCGGAAACGATTATGTCGGTCTGGACTTTCGATTAGAGCAGCAAGGACGAAATTCTAAATTCTGCCGCTCCCCACTTTCCCGCACATGGGCGGGGCGCGGAGGACCTCGCGGAAGATTTGGCGGAGGAAAGATGTGGTTCTGGTTTGTGGATCTGTAGTTGACGAATGTATCTCAACCTAACGAATATGTACGGAGCGTTACGAAGCTATAGAATGTCGTGAATTCGTGAAGGTTTGGGAACCAAGTATGATGCTCTCCGCAGTCCCGAGAACCTTCGGTGTCACAGTTTTCCAAAAAGATCGCGGCGCTCGTAGATGTCAAGGCACAGATAGCCAATCAGGAGAAGACACACACTTCCTCTTTGGTCTAATAACTGCATTCTGAACACGCCCTCAAGTGTACACGTCTCTCGAACCAACGATCCATCCCTTTCACCCATCACACTCACACTTCACAGACTGATCAATTCTCTGACATCGCATTTTTCCCTTTTTGTCCAGTCACCCTGACTGACATCTTTCGTGCCCGACTCCGCCCTTCAGGGGGGATTTTCACAGGAAATCGGCACGATTACTATCAGCAAGTCCAACGGCAGTGCGACACAACCCACAGTAGCCACGCAGAACTGCCACGTCTAAATTTTCCCTTCATCCAGTGATCCCACCGACCCTTGAGCTCATTCGGGCTTCGTTCACGACAAGCAGTCCACCTCTCGGTCCCCATAGCTGCATGATACCTCGATTCTGAGCCGCATCTCACAAATCGGCGCCACCAGCGCGTCTCAGTCACCATGTCGCGTAGATCCTCTCCGACATCCATCCCTACTACTATTTCACGCTAGTGCTTCTCGCGTCTCTGAAAATTTGCCCCAGCAGCGCGTCTCGTCATCATGTCGCGTAGACTCCCTGCCACATCTACCCCTACTACTATCTCTCGCCAGTGCTGCTCGCGGCTCAGATTCTCCACCCGGCGCCTCTCCACCCCTTCATCCCCTCTGGTGTCAACCGCCAGAACAGCAGTCTCGCTTCTCACATCCCTCGTTATAGTCATCTCCGTTATACCATCCTCGGGTCCTCCACAATCAAACTTTCGATCATATTCCGTCTCGTTACTATCACAATCCAATGGCATTCGAGTGTTGGCGGAGGCGTGGCGTTTCAAGGAGAATCCTCTTGAACATGCGAAACATCCGCGCATGGTTACCCTGTTCTCCGTGGAGTGCGGTCCCTACTTTGACTGGCAGACCGTGGGGCTCATGCACAGCTACAGGTATGCAGGGGGAGAGTGTGTGCGTGGGTGCGACTTTTGAGGCGCCTCAAAATCGGTTACTCTGTTCTCCGTAGAGTGTACTTTGACTGGCAGACCGGGGGGCTCATGCACAGCTACAGGTGGGGGGGTGAGTGTGTGTGTGTGAATAGCTTATGCGTACAGGTGGGTGTGTGTGTGTGTGTGTGTGTGTGTGTGTGTGTGTGTGTGTGCGTGCGTGTGTGTGTGTGTGTGTGTGTGTTTCTGTGTGTGCATGTGGGAGGCCGAGGAGAGGGAGAGAGGGGAGTGCGTGTGGGAGGGAGATGAGAAGAATGGGAGGGGGAGAGGGGATGTGGTGGTCTGTGTGTGTGAGTGAGGGGAAGGCGGAAGGAGTGGGGTTCATGCATGGCTACAGGCTATATCACTGAAATCGTGTGATTGGGCCATATCTTGTCTCTGCCTGCCTGCTGTTCCCCTTACACCAGGCGCAGCCGCGCAGCAAGCAACCGGGCCCCAACACCAGACTCCTCAGCTGCACGGAGGAGCAGCCGGGGGATTACCCCAACATGGACCTTGCTCCCACGACGCACACCATCATCTCTCCCATGTGCTGCCTTTCACACGTCCTGTGTTATGTTCTGTCTACCCGTCTGCCCTTTCCCCTTCTCCAGGCGCAGCAAGCAACCAGGCCCCATCACTCGCCTGCTCAGCTGCACAGAGGAGCAGCTAAAGGATTACCCCAACATGGACCTCGCTCCCACGCACACCGTGCCCTCCATGTCCCTCGACCCCAAGACTGGCGAGTGGTAGGTCTCTATATGTGTGGGGAGGTCGAGTGATTCGTACCTGTCTGGCGGGACTGCTTGTGTTCTGCTTGCATCGCAACACAGCAGCTGAGGGACTACCCCAACATGGACCTCGCTCCCACACACACCGTGCCCTCAATCAATGTCTCTCGACCCCAAGACTGGCGAGTGGTAGGTTGTCTGGGGCTTGGCTTGCTCGCTCTTCTCCTTGTCGTCTGGTTTCAAACTGAGTCGCATCTCACTCACTACAAGGCAGCAGAGTTAAGGTAGTACCCCAAGATGCACCTCGCTCCCACACATACCGTGCCATGCCATGGTGACTTTTGAAATCGACTCAAAAGTCACCTCGCTCCCACACATACCGTGCCATGCCATGCATGAGTGAGTTTCAAACCCAACACTGTTGTGTTGAGTGGTAACACACTGGCGAGTGGTATGCCGCCGCTGTTGTGCCCTGTGGCTATGTGGCAGTGCTGTGCTGTGTGTGGCTAGGTTGAGTACGGTTTTTTCTCCCTTCTCTTCCTTCCTCTTCCTGTCCTCCCCCCCCTTCCCCTCCCCTCCCTCCCTCACCCTCGACAGGTACCCAGCAATCAATAAGCCCTACGGCGTGTGGCACTGGGTGCAGCACAGCCCACAAGCAAAGCAGGCGGAGTGGGTGGTGATTCTGGACTCTAAACTGTTACCCACTGTCTCTCTCCTCTTCCTCCTCTCCTCCCACCCCTTCCCCGCCACGCCCTCTCGCCCCCGCTGCAGGTACCCAGCAATCAACAAGCCCTACGGCGTGTGGCACTGGGTGCAGCACAGCCCTTGTCTTCCCTCCCTCCCTCACTCGCCCCCCTCACACCCCTCTCTCTTACCTCCCTCACCCACTACAGGTATCCAGCAATCAACAAGCCCTATGGGGTGTGGCACTGGGTGCAGCACAGCCCACAGGCGGAGTGGGTGGTGGTTCTAGATTCTGATGTGTTGCTTGCTCTCTCCCTCTTCTCCCTCTTCTCCCTCTTCTTCCTCCCTGTCTCCCCCTCACCCACTACAGGTACCCAGCAATCAACAAGCCCTACGGCGTGTGGCACTGGGTGCAGCACAGCCCGCAGGCACAGCAGGTGGAGTGGGTCGTGATCCTCGACGCTGACATGGTCATCAGAGCGCCCGTCACTCCTTGGGGCGTGAAAGCAGACAAGGGCAAACCAGTTGCTGCCTATTACGGGTACGTTCGAGCATGAAAACCCCAGCGGTATTGTGTTGGGAAAGTGCAAGCACAGCAGGCGGAGTGGGTGGTGATCCTGGACGCTGACATGGTCATCAGGGCGCCCGTCACCTCGTGGGGCGTGAAAGCAGGCAAGGGCAGGCCAGTTGCCGCCTATTACGGGTACGTAGAGTCTGGTGGGGTAAAGACGGGGCACAGGCACCTTGGCGCACCAGTGTGTGCGTTGGAAGAGCAGAAGGCAGAGTGGGCGGTGGTTCTAGACGCTGACATCCCTTGATGTGGTGGGCTATCAGAGCGCCCATCACCCCGTGGGGCGTCAAGGCAAGGAAGGGCAAACCAGTTGCGGCCTATTACGGGTATGTGCGAGCAAGAAAGCCCTGCAAGGCTCGTGTTTGCAAGCACAGCAGGCGGAGTGGGTGGGCGGTGGTTCTAGACGCTGACATCCCTTGATGTGGTGGGCTATCAGAGCGCCCATCACCCCGTGGGGCGTCAAGGCAGAGAAGGCAACGTATTGGTTGTTTCGCACTCATGGCGGCTGCCTGTCCGTCTCTGTTCTCTCGGCTCCTCACCTCCTCCTGCCCCCTTGTTCCTCCCCCCACTCCCTCCTCTCTCCCCCTCAGCTACCTCATCGGTTGTGACAACATACTGGCCCAGCTGCACACCAAGCACCCCGAGCTGTGTCCCAAAGTGGGCGGATTCATAGTCATGCACATTGACGATCTGCGCCGCTTCGCCCCGCTCTGGCTCAGCAAGACACAGGAGGTGCGCTTTAGGGGGATGTTGATGTGAGCCAAAGGGAGCCACAAGGCAAAGCAAGGTGAGTTCCGGTGGCGGCCTTGCCACCCTTAAGTGACCAGGTGTGTCCCAAAGTGGGCGGATTCATGGTCATGCACATTGAAAACCTGTGCCGCTTCGCCCCGCTCTGGCTCAGCAAGACACAGGAGGTGCATTGTCTCATGTCAAAAGGAATCGAGCTGGCTGTGACTAGATTTTATCATGCACAGTTGTCGGAGTGTCGTCCGCAAGTGCAACGTTTCTCATCTTCTTGTTCGCTTCTCTTGAGGAGCCTCAAAAGTTCTCTCCCTCCCGTTCAGGTGCGAGCGGACAAGGCCCACGACGTGAGGAACATCACAGGAGACGTGTACTCATCAGGGTGGCTTTAGAGCCGAATCAAATGTCTCTTTATGTCTCATGCGGTTCTCTCTAACTTCTCCCCCTCAGGTGCGAGCGGACAAGGCACACTATGCGAGGAACATCACAGGGGATGTGTACTCATCAGGGTGGATCAGCGAGATGTATGGCTACTCTTTTGGTGTTGCTGATGTGAGTGCGGGGCATGGCATGGCATGGCATGGTATGGCATGGTACACTGTGGTGATAGGAGATTTGAAATAGTTTAGCAAGATGTGTGGCTACTCGTTTGCTGCCGGTAATGTGAGTCCAAGGCATGGCATGGGATGGCATGGCATGGCTAGGGATGGTCATTTGTGGTGCGATGAGATACGAAGAGGTTCGGTGAGATGTAGGGCTACTCGTTTGGTGCTGCTGATGCGAGTGCAGGACTGATGTGCTGATGGGAGGGTTAATGCCAACCAACAGAACAGGTGGATCAATCAAACCATGACGCTGTACCCGCAGTGTACTGAGTTGACTTTTGAGTCGACTCAAAAGTCGTGCTGATGGGAGGGTTAATGCCAACCAACAGAACAGGTGGATCACAATGCTTCCTTCCATCAAACCACAATGCTGTACCCCCGGTATACTTCCCCCCTTTTTAGTCGACTCAAAAATCAATCCACGATGCTGTGCTGTGCCCCCCCGGAGTACGCCCCCTGCCATGCATGCAGCCCTGTCTATCTAACCCGGCCTCTCTTCTCTCCCGCTATGGACTCTCTGCTATCAACCCCCCCTTGTTGCCTTGCCCCTCCCCACAGGCAGGATTGCGCCACCAGCTGGACCAAAACATGATGCTCTATCTGACATACGTCCCCCCGCCAGCCATGCAGCCCCGTGTACTGCCCCACCCGCCTTCCTCCTTTCCTCACAAACACAACCCTCCCAATGCTCTATCTGAAATACGTCCTCCCGCCAGGCATGCAGCCCCGTGTACTGCCCCACCCGCCTTCCTCCTTTCCTCACAAACACAACCCTCCCAATGCTCTATCTGACATACGTCCCCCCGCCAGGCATGCAGCCCCGTGTACTGCCCCACCCGCCTTCCTCCTTTCCTCACAAACACAACCCTCCCAATGCTCTATCTGACATACGTCCCCCCGCCAGGCATGCAGCCCCGTGTACTGCCCCACCCGCCTTCCTCCTTTCCTCACAAACACAACCCTCCCAATGCTCTATCTGAAATACGTCCCCCCGCCAGGCATGCAGCCCCGTGTACTGCCCCACCCGCCTTCCTCCTTTCCTCACAAACACAACCCTCCCAATGCTCTATCTGAAATACGTCCCCCCGCCAGGCATGCAGCCCCGTGTACTGCCCCACCCGCCTTCCTCCTTTCCTCACAAACACAACCCTCCCAATGCTCTATCTGACATACGTCCCCCCGCCAGGCATGCAGCCCCGTGTACTGCCCCACCCGCCTTTCTCCTTTCCTCACAAACACAACCCTCCCAATGCTCTATCTGACATACGTCCTCCCGCCAGGCATGCAGCCCCGTGTACTGCCCCACCCGCCTTCCTCCTTTCCTCACAAACACAACCCTCCCAATGCTCTATCTGACATACGTCCCCCCGCCAGGCATGCAGCCCCGTGTACTGCCCCATCCGCCTTCCTCCTTTCCTCACAAACACAACCCTCCCAATGCTCTATCTGACATACGTCCCCCCGCCAGGCATGCAGCCCCGTGTACTGCCCCATGTACTGCCCCGTGTACTGCCCCATGTACTGCCCCGTGTACTGCCCCATGTACTGCCCCATGTACTGCCCCATGTACCGCCCCATTATACTGCTTGCTGATTCCCCAGTTCCCACCCCACCACTCCCGCCCTCCTCCTCCACCCCCTCTACAGGCCGTCCTACATGCATGCTACACCACCAGTTGGACCAAACAACAATGCCTGGGGGAACAACCCCGTAGTGCTGATACCCGGGGTACGTCGTCCCCCTGCCAGGCGTGGACCCGTGCCTGCTGCACTACAGCCACTCTTCTTCAACCTGTTCCCCCTCTCTCTCTTCTCTCCCTCCTCCCCTCCCAACAGGCGGGGTTGCACCATCAAGTCGACCAAACAACCATGCTCTACCCAGGCTACAACCCAACGCCAGGCGTGGACCCCCGCTTGCTGCACTACGGGCTTGCTTTCTCCGTCGGCAACTGGAGCTTCGGCAAGTCGCAGCATCGCACGGACAAGATTGTGAATGAGTGCAACCGGCTGTTTGACCCGCCTCCATTCCCCTCTGAGGTGAGATTTTCGAAGGAATTGAGCTTCGGGAAGTCACAGCACCGAACAGACAAGATTGTCAATGAGTGCAACCGGCTGTTTGACCCGCCTCCATTCCCCTCTGAGGTGAGATTTTTGAAGGAATTGAGCTTCGGGAAGTCACAGCACCGAACAGACAAGATTGTCAATGAGTGCAACCGGCTTTTCGACCCTCCACCGTTCCCCTCTGAGGTGAGTTGTGGAGTGGTCCCTAATGCGTGAGATGGAGACATCAAGTCAAGTGAGCAACTGGACCTTTGGCAAGTCACATCATCGGACGGACAAGATTGTCAACGAGTGCAACCGTCTGTTTGACCCGCCTCCATTGCCCTCTGAGGTGAGGCATTGAGTGCAAGAGTTGGTTGGTTCTGATGTCAGATTGTTTTTTGAGGCGCCTCAAAAATCGTTTCAACGCAACCGGCTGTTTGATCCTCCTCCGTTACCTTCTGAGGTGAGCCATTGAGGGCAAGAGCTGGTTCTCATATCATCAGATTGGGTCTATTTTTGAGTCGACTCGAAAATCGACTCCTCCATTCCCTTCTGAGGTGCAACATTGAGTGCAAGAGTTGGCTCTCATGTCAGATTGGTTCTTGAGAAGTGTGCTTTGGCAAGTCACATCATTGCACGGATAAAATTGTGAATGAGTGCAACAGACTGTTTGACCCTCCGCCGTTCCCCTCTGAGGTGAGGCATTCAGAGGTGTTGAGGTTTGGCATCAGCACTGCACGGATATGTTTGTGAATGAGTGCAACAGACTCTTCAACCCCCCGCCGTTCCCTTCTGAGGTGAGACATTCAATGGGGTGAGGCGTTGAGGATGCGTGAGAAGGAGGATCGAGAGACATGTTCTAGCGAGCAGCAGTTAAGGGGAAACAGCTGTAGAATAACCTAGCTTCTTTGCGTAGGGTTTTGTACGGCGGGTGAGGCGTTGAGGATGCATGAGAAGGAGAACCCACGTGGTGGGCGTCATGAGAAGGAGAACCCACGTGGTGGGCGTCATGAGAAGGAGAACCCACGTGGTGGGCGTCATGAGAAGGAGAACCCACGTGGTGGGCGTCATGAGAAGGAGAACCCACGTGGTGGGCGTCATGAGAAGGAGAACCCACGTGGTGGGCGTCATGAGAAGGAGAACCCACGTGGTGGGCGTCATGAGAAGGAGAACCCACGTGGTGGGCGTCATGAGAAGGAGAACCCACGTGGTGGGCGTCATGAGAAGGAGAACCCACGTGGTGGGCGTCATGAGAAGGAGAACCCACGTGGTGGGCGTCACTCATGGTTTTGGAAGAGCAGTAGTGCTAGAGAAAGCGTTTAGCAAGTAAGAAAGAGAGTAAAACTCACGTGGTGGGCTATTGAGGAGCCTTGGGAAGTCTCAGTACCACACGGACAGGATTGTGAATGAGTGAAATCGGCTGTTTGACCCTTTGTCATTTCCTTCTGAGGTGGGGCGTGGACTCCACGCTGTGGAGTGGTGAAACGCACTGAAGGTGTTGCACTAGGTGTGGATGATTTATTGGGGAATTCTATATCTCTAGCGACGTGCATGACGAAGTGTTTTGAGACGTCTCAAAACACTTCTTCATACATTCCCTTCTGAGGTGGGGCGTGGAGTGGTGATGCGAGGCACTGAAGGTGATGCGAGGCACTGAAGGTGATGCGAGGCACTGAAGGTGATGCGAGGCACTGAAGGTGATGCGAGGCACTGAAGGTGATGCGAGGCACTGAAGGTGATGCGAGGCACTGAAGGTGATGCGAGGCACTGAAGGTGATGCGAGGCACTGAAGGTGATGCGAGGCACTGAAGGTGATGCGAGGCACTGAAGGTGATGCGAGGCACTGAAGGTGTTGCACTTGTGAGAAAGTTTGAAGAAGAACCGATGGTTGCATTAGGAAACATGCGGGTATACATAGTTAGCTAGAATGGGAAGTATGGTTGGGAACCTTGCCAACATTATTGGCCCCCACCAATAAGTTGGGTTGAGGAGTTTCTTGGGGGGACCAATAATGTTGACCAACGTGGGTCAACAGTTCTAAGGGGGAGCAATAATCTCCCAACCTTGGAGGCCCAATATTTGGGCCAAGGTTGGGTTCCAACAAATTAGGGTTAACCCTAGTTGTGCACCCAAACTAAGTTTGGGAACCTATCTCTAGCCAAAGCTTATAGAATCGATGCAGGTTACAATGAAGATGATAATCTGACAGCACTGGGTGTGGATGATCTATTGGGGAACTCTAGATCTGTAGCGTGAGCTTTGGCAAGTTGAGGCACATGACAGAGCGGGTCATTACGAGTGTAATGAACTGTTTGACCCCCGCACAAAAACATCGGCACGAGGTGCCTTGAGCGGGTCATTTACGAGTGCAATTGATTGTTTGACCCCCGCACAAAAACATCGGCACCATGACGTGACGTGAACGAAGAAAATAGTACCATGCTGTAACAAGTCATGCCCTCTGTCCTGTCCCATCCACATTCCCTGCCTTTTCTCCCCTTTCCGCCCCTCTTTTTTTTTTTTTTGAAACCCCTTACGTGTAGATCATTGAGCGCGACAAAGAGAAGAAGCGGGGCCTTTTATTGAGTTTAGAGTGCATCAACACATTGAACGAGGGCCTTATGATCCACCATGCCACCCACGGCTGCCCCAACCCAGCCCCCTCCCCCTATCGCTCCATGCTGCTGTGAGTGCGCCCCCTCCCCCTACCATTGCTTCTATAAGGATGAGTGCATGCACGGCTGCCCCAACCCAGCCCCCTCCCCCTATCTCTAGCCAAAGCTTATAAGAATCGATGAACGTCAAGCAATACTTTTGTGTCTACATCTCAATTTCTCTTTCTCTCTCTCTCCCCTCCCATTGTTCCCTTCTCTCCCTCCCCCCTCCCTTTTTTCGCTTCTCTCCCTTCCACCCCCTTATGGTCAATCTCAAATTCATAATGTTGGGTCTGTCCTCTCTTATTTTGAGGTGCCTCAAAATTCTTTCTTGTTAGCAGTCATTGCTTGACGTTCACCCTTTAGCAGTCATTGCTTGACGCTCACCCTTTAGCAGTCATTGCTTGACGTTCACCCTTGAGCAGTCATTGCTTGACGTTCACCCTTTAGCAGTCATTGCTTGACGTTCACCCTTTAGCAGTCATTGCTTCTGTCTGCTTGCCTGTATGCACTCTCATCCACCACACTCTCATCGTTTCTGTCCGCGCTCCCTTTTGTGAGATCCCTCTACTCTTTCATGTTGGTTTGACTTTTGAGAATTCTCAAAAGTCAAACCTTTTGTGAGATCCCTCTTCTCTTCCTCTAACCTTCCTTTCTCGCGCTCTACCCTTCCTCGCTCCCCCCTCTCCCCTTTGCGAGCATCCAGTCATCCCTGGGCCCTTCTGCCTTTGGCCCCGGCCTGTCGTCATTCCACCCTCCACGGCAATGACAGTGAGGGAGAGGGGAAGGGGCATGCTTCACAGTGAGGGAGAGGGGAAGGGGCATGCTTCACAGTGCACAGGGCCTATTTCTCACGCCCCTCCACCCTTCCCCTCTCCCTCGCCGCTCCCTCTTATCCCTCCCCCTTCCACCAGTGCAAGAATCCAGACGTCTCTGGGACCTGCTGCCTTTGGCCCCACTGTCTCTTCCCAGCCCGAAGAGGGCATGCTCCGAGGGGAGGTGAGGGGAGCGGCTGGCAGTGCAGGCGGCCAATCATTCCTCGCACCTGCCGCCTGCCCATTTCTGACGCCCTTTTCCCCTGCCCTCTCCCATTCCTCTCTTTCTCGCCTCTGCCCTTCCTTTCTCTCTCCCAACCCACCAGTGCGAGCATCCAGTCATCTCTGGGCCCTGCTGCCTTTGGCCCCACTGTCTCTTCCCAGCCCGAAGGGGGCATGCTCCGAGGGGAGGTGAGGGGAGCGGCTGACTGACAGTGCAGGCGTCCACTCATCATCCCTGCCTTTCACCTTTCCGTCTCATCACTCTCTCTTCCCCGCCCACCAGTGCGAGCATCCAGTCATCCCTCGGACCTTCTGCCTTTGGTCCCACTGTCTCTTTGATCCCTGAAGGGGGCATGCTCCGAGGGGAGGCGAGGGGAGCGGCTGTGGGAGGAGGAGTAAGAGGGGGGTTAGGAAACTCTGTTGTTGCCAACACCGGCGTTGGGGGTAAGAGCAACAGCAGTGGCAGCAGCAGCAGCGGCGGTGGTGGCAGCGGCAGCAACAGCAGCAGCAGTGGGATGAAAGGGATTGGGGGGGGTGAGAGTGGGATGGAAGGGGTAGGGGGTGCAGCAGAGGGGGCAGGAGAGAGCGAGGAGGAGAGGGTAGTGGAGCAGGTTGAGAAGGAGACAGGTGTGGGTTTCTGGGGAGATGATGGTGTTGATAGTAGTGATGGTGCTGATGGGGATGATGGTGGTGCTGATGCTGATGCTGATGGGGATGGGAACAACAAGCAAGAACAAGGGAAGGCTGGGGATCAAGCAGAGGGGCAAGCGCAAGGGGAGAGCAGCGAGCAGCAGAAAGGAGGCAGCAAAGGCAGTCGAAGTAACAGAGGCAGAGGCAAAGGCAGAGGAGGGGATGACAAGTCCCCTCCTCTGGCAGACACTACCGAGAAACTCCATATGTGGATGGACAAGTGGAGGAAAACCATACGCTCCCTCCTCCCCTCCTCTTTTCAAGACGCCTCCCGCCTTCCTATTCTCGAAATCGACTCCCCTCCTCCCGTTCCTCTCCCGCTGCCGAACCTGGGCCCGGACGTGCCTGTTGATCCGGCTCGGGACCCGAACCTTTGGCAGCCGTTTCATGTGAAGGGCACGCCGAGGCTGGTCACGCTTTTTTCGGGCGAGTGTACTGCGTATTTCGATTGGCAGACGCTCGGGCTGATGTACAGCTTTCGGAGGAGCGGGCAGCCCGGAAAACTTGTGCGGCTGCTGGCTTGTAACGAGGACATGCTTAAGGAGTACAAGGGGCTGGACCTGGCTCCGACTATGGTGGTGCCGAATTGGGACCACGACCCCCACAACGGAGATTGGTGCGTGTGCATACTTGTTCATTCAGTGAGCTTCGGGATGGGTAGAGTGGGTGAGAGGGGCTGGTGTTGGGTTGGACCTAGCAGCACCAACTATGGTGGTGCCGAATTGGGACCATGACCCCCACAACGGCGACTGGTGCGTGTGCAGTGCAGTGGGCTTCTGGTGGTGGGACGGGGGGAGGAAGGGGGAGGGTGAGGGGGGGGGAGACGTGGGTGGAGTTCACCTTAAGGGGTGCAACGACTATGGTGGTGCTAAATTGGGGCTCTGATCCGCAGAACAAGGTGTTTTTAGAGTCGACTCAAAAGCATTATTTCTCACCTCCTCCCCTCCCAGTCTGCTTTTGAGTCGACTCTCAAAAGTCACTACAATGACTATGTTGGTGTTGAATTGGGGCGAGACCCTGATCCGCATAACAGGGACGGGCGGGGCAGGGTACAGGGTTGCTCTGTGGCTTTGGAAATGCGTGGAACGGGCTGGAAAGGGGTATATAAGGGGACAACGGCTGCAGAGAGGTGATTTTTGAGGCGACTCGAAAATCACCTCGGTATATAAGGAGACAACGTCAGCAACAGCTACGGTTGCACACCCTGTGTCTGGATTTCTCAACTAGAGCAACAACAGCACTGCTACCTCTGCCTCACCTTTCCCCACTCCCTCATCCCCCTCCCCCTTTCTTTTTCTCAGGCACTCCGCCATAAACAAGCACGTGGGAGGAAAGTTGGCTTGACAACAGCCCCCCCTTCCTCTTTTTTCCTATTCCCTCCCAACCCCATCCCCCTCCTCCTTCTCCCCCCTCCCCCTTTCTTTTTCTCAAGCACTCCGCCATAAACAAGCACGTAGGAGGAAGTGCCAGCGTGACAACAGCCCTGCACTGTTTTCCCATGAGCACTGTTTTCCCCACTCTCATTCCCCCCACCGCAACCCCCGCCCCAAGTGTTCTGCCATCAACAAGCCAGTGGGCGTGAAGTACTGGCTTGAGAACAGCCCTGCACCGCCTTCCCCTGACCTATGTTTTCCCCATTCCCTCCCCCCATTCTCCTCTTCTCCTTCTCAGGTATTCTGCCATTAACAAGCCTGTCGGGGTGAAGTACTGGCTTGACAACAGCCCCGACGCGCAACAGGTCGATTTTGTCCTCATCCTCGACGCGGATCAGATCCTCCGCCGCCCGATTCTGCCCTGGGAGCTAGGCGCCGAGCGAGGCCGCCCAGTTTCCGCCGACTACGGGTGCGTGAAGTGAAGTGAGTGTGGTGAGTGAGCGAGGGAGTAGTGGGTTGGAGTGGCCCTCTGATGAGAGTTGGAGAATTATGAGCGACGATGAGAGTGGATGAGACGATGAGAGTGGATGAGACGATGAGAGTGGATGAGACGATGAGAGTGGATGAGACAAAGAGAGTGGATGAGACGATGAGAGTGGATGAGGTTAGGGGATACATCCCCATCCACGTGGACGACCTGTTTGTTCGGTCCTCCCCTCTCATTCTTGGTGTCTTCTCACCCCCACTCCAGGTACCTGATCGGGTGTGACAACATCCTGGGGTCGCTGCACATGAAGCACCCCAAGCATTGCGACAAGGTCGGGGGGTACATTGCCATCCACGTGGACGACCTGCGCCTGCTGGCTCCCCGGTGGATTGCCAAGACGGAAGAGGTAAGTGCGAGAGGAGGCAAGGGAGTGAGTGAGGAGGTAAGGGGGGGAAGAGGCTGGGGAAGGGACTCGCACTCGAGGTGACTTGACCCATCCTGACCCGACAAGGGACCCGACTGGACCGGACCCATCCTGACCCGACCTGGGCCAAACCGGACAGATCTGGCCCGTCCCGGCCAGACCCGACCTGGCCCGACCTTACCTACTCGGCCCGGCCCTACCCACCCCGCCCTAGCCCAACCCGACCCGAACCAAACGGACTGGCCCGACCTGGTCTGATGCGACCCGACCCAATGTGGGCCGACCCGACCCCGGCCTGATCCAGCCCGACCCAGCCTGACACGACCCGACCCAGCCCGAACCAACCCTACCAGGATAAACCCCAATCGTCTCGGCCCGACCTGACCTGACCCGACCCAACCTGACCCAACCCGACCCGACCCGACCCGACCCGGCCCGACCCAATTCGACCCGGCTCTACCCCTCCCAACCGGCCTGACCCGACCTGGCCCTTCTCGGCTCGGCTCGACCCGACCCGACCCGACCCGACCTAGACCAACCCGGTCCAACCCATTTCGGCCTGGCCCGGCCTAGACCCATATTAACCCATTCCTACCCGACTCGGCCCGACCCGAACCGATCCGACCTGACAGCCCAACGCGACCCGACCCGATCCGACCCTGCCCGGCCCGACCCTACTCGACCCGACCTGAACAGAGCAGACACGGATCACTATGCCACCAACATCACGGGCGACGTGAACGGGCAGAGGTGGGTTTTGAGTCAACTCAAACGTCTCATCTCTTCTTGTTTGCTTCTCACTTTCTCCCCTCAGGTGCGAGCGGACAAGGAGCACTACGCCACCAACATCACGGGCGACGTGTACGGGCAGGGGTGGATCAGCGAGATGTACGGCTACTCGTTTGGTGCCTCCGATGTGAGTATCCCACCAAGTGGTTCTCTTCGCACCCCTTAAAGGTTCTAGCTGTGAGAGCAGACAAGAGGGGATTGAGCACTGATGTACGGGCAGCAGTAGATCTGCTGCTGCAATAGGTGTATGGCTATTCTTTTCATGCCTCTGATGTGAAAGCCGAGCATTGTGTGGCATGGCATGGCATGGCGTGGCATGGCATGGCATGGCATGGCATGGCATGGCATGGCATGGCATGGCATGGCATGGCTAGGGACAAACAGTGCCGTATGCATGTGCTGCCACCAGATTACTGTGTGATGGTTGTAGCACCATTCCGGGTAATAGATGATTAATACGATGTTATTGTGGTCAGCATCTTTCTGTCTATCCCTTTCAGTCCCTCATCCCTCCTCTACTCTCACCCCCTTCATCTCCTCTCCCTCTTCCTCGCCTCTTTCCTCAAACCAATTTACACCAGGTGGTGATAGACAGGATAATGTTCTACCCGGGCTTTTGAGTTGACTCAAAAGCAGACAGAATAATGTTCTACCTGGGCTTTTGAGTTGACTCAAAAGCAGACAGGATAATGTTCTACCCGGGCTTTTGAGTTGACTCAAAAGCAGACAGGATAATGTTCTACCCGGGCTATCGCTGTTGCTCTCACCCGTCTCCCTCTCCTCTCCTCGACCTCTTGCCTGCCCCAACCCTCAGGCCAATCTACACCACGTGCTGATAGACAGCATAATGCTCTACCCGGGCTACCCCCCTCTCTCCTCCTTTGCTCTCTGATCTCTCTGTTTCCGGACAACTCCCGCTTCCCACATGCTCTCTTTCCTCAGCCTCTCCTCTCCGCTCCTCTCCTCCTCTCCTCCTCTGGCCGCCCTCTTCCTCTCTCTGCCTCCCTTTCTCCTCCTCCCACCTCCCTCCCAGGCCAATCTACACCACGTGGTGATAGACAGCATAATGCTGTACTCAGGGTACCCCTCTGTGCCCAACGTGGACCCTCGTCTCTTCCACTACGGCCTCTAGATCAAACTGCTCACCTACTCCTGGGATAATTCCCGCTTCCCACGTGCTGCACTCCCATCAATTCCCCACTCATCTCTCCTCTTTTCCCTCTCCTCTTTTCCTTGCATCCTCTCTCCTCCCCCACTCCTCTCCCTTTCTCCTCCTCCCCCCTCTCCCTCCACAGGCCAATCTACACCATGTGGTGATCGACAATATAATGCTCTACCCCGGCTATCCCCCTGTACCAAACATCGACCCTCGTCTCTTCCACTACGGCCTCGAGGTTAAAGTTCTGAATTACTCCTGGGACAAGTCCCGCTTCCGAGACACCCCCCTAGCCCTCACCTGCGGTTACCATTTCCCCGACCCTCCTGACGTTACGGACTTGCCCCCGTTACCCTCTCTCAATTCTGGTGCTGCTGCTGCTGGTGGTAAAGGTGGTATTGGCGGTTTATTTGCGGGGCTTAGGGGTGGAGGAGGGGGGGAAGAGGAGAGGGTGAAGAAGCTGAAGGAGTTGCAGGAGGAGCGGCGGAAAGAGTTCATAGTTATTGAGTGTGTTGCGGTGCTGAATCGTGCTTTAAGAGAGTATCACCGGCTGAGGCTAGGGTGCCCTGCGTCTGGCGAGAAAGACGTGGGCGTTATGGATCTTACTGGAGCGTCTTTTATCGAGTCGGGGAGTGGGGGAGGGGGTGTGAGGGAGCTTAGAGCTGATGTGTGGGCGAGAGTGAGAGATGGGGGAGAAGGGATGGAGGTGGAGGAGGAGAGGAGGACGGGGAGGACTGAGGAGGGGAATGGGGATGTGGAGAGAGTGGGGAGGTTTGTGGTAGAGAGTGTGGAAGTGAGGGAGAGGGGGGGATTGGAGCGAGGGCTTGTTGTTGGGGTAGAGATGGCAGAAGGGGAGAGAGAGCGGATGGAGGAGAGGATGGAGGAGAGGATGAGGGAGGAGGATGGGCAGGAGGGAGGGATAGGAGGGGTTGGAGAGGTGGGGGTAGAGGAGCAGCAGGGGCAGAACAAGCAAGGGAATGAAGAAAACCATATTGAACATCAGCAGGAGCATCAGCAAGGAGAGGAGCAATTGAAAGGCGCAGGAAACGGGGAAGGTGGATTGGTTAGAGATCAGCAAGAAAATTCCGGTGTAGAGGAGGTGAATACATTTAAAGGCAGCGGTGGTGGTATCAAAGCACAGAGTGGTAAGATCCAACAAATTCGAGGGCTCTTACGTGGCAGGCGATCATTGGTCGGAGGAGATCTGAGCTCCGCAGGTGATAGGGCGGCTGGTGGGGTTGGAGGAGGGGGCGAGGGCACCACAGAAGGTGGGCTGGATTGGGTGCTGTGGTTGAAGCGGTATAAGAAATGGCTTGCTGCGCCGTGGGTGCTGGCTGCGGTTATGCTGCTGCTGGTGGTTACCAGGAGGCGGCAGCGGAAGCGGAGGGAGGGGAGGGAGATGAGAGAAGCGCGGCGGGAGAGGAGGGCGAGGAAAAAACGATCGGAGAAGATCCCAAAGGATGTGACAGACTAACATTCTGAAAAGAAATACATACAGAGCATTCATGATAGATTTTCTTGTGGTTCTAGTACCAGTAATTGTATGATGGTATTTGTGTGAAAACGATGATGTGTTCAGACGCGAATGTTCTTGCTGACATGCGTTTATGCTAAAATCAGAAGTTTCTACCAAAAAGAACAGGATTCTAAGACTAACATTCAATTCTAATAATGATTTTGCAATGTGTTACGAGTGCAATTGAGTGAACGAACGAGAATTGCACTATCGAAGCAAGAGTACAATGAGCTAAGGCATGAGCGAAGAATATATAGCGAAACTACAGTGGTAACGGTAATGGACTGTGGTTGTCGCGCGACGGGCCTGGGACTGAGGTTGGGAAAAAGTGTCGAAGTGGAGGCCCGGAGCGCGGGTTACCCGCCGAGCCGTGAGGTCGGGGTGCGATGTGTGAAGGTGGCGGGCGGATTGTCGATGCGAGGGTTGCGAGTGGTAACGGTGCTGACTGTGGTGCTACAGTGATGTACGCGTTGAGCAGGGATGCGAAGTAAGGATAAGGATTTTTCCTTACACTTACCCCCCGCCCCCCCTAAGGAGGTCCTCCTTACGAAAGTGCGTGTACATCCCTGAAATTTCGGCTGCGTAGATACTCGGTGAGGACGGGGTGGTTTTCGATTCTGTCCAGGGGAACCCAATTGTCTTCGGTGGGTGTACAGTCCTTCCAGCGGAGTAAGAACTCGATCCTTCGGGCTCCTCGAGGGTCGCGAACTCTGTGACTCAGGATTTTCTCGGGGGTGACGATTGGTTCGGTTGGTGGTCTTGTCATGCTGGCTGGGCGATTACGTGGCAGTTGGCCCGTGGACGGGACGTAAGGGCGAAGTAGGCTGACGTGGAATGAGGGGCTGACGTACCAGCCAGAAGGGAGGAGGAGGTGGGCGGTGACGGGTGTAAGCATGTGGCTTATGCGAAATGGCCCGCAGTATCGGGGGCGGAGTTTCGGGGTGATGGGCAGGCGGAGGTTCTGAGTGTCAAGTAAAACTAAGTCGTCGGGCTGGTAAGTGACAGGTCTGTGGTGGCGGTCGGCGTTGCGTTTAGCGATGATGTTCGATTTTTTTATTGCGTCTGCTGCCCGGGTCCGTGCTGCTTGTAATATTTTGGCGAACTGTTGTGCTCGTGGTACTGGGTTGTCGGGATTCGGGGTCATGGGTACTGTCGGGTCTTGTCCGTAGTTTAAATAAAATGGTGACTGTTGGGTCGTGGCGGATGGCGAGTTGTTGTACGCGAATTCGATTAGTGGCAGTTGCTGTTCGCACGTGGTCGGGTCGTCACACGTGGCCCTGATGAGCTGTTCCATGGTCTGATTTGTCCGTTCTGTCTGTCCGTCAGTTTCGGGGTGGTATGATGAACTGAACTGTAGTCTCGTGCCGAATTGCTGCCACAGGTTCCGCCTGAAGTTGCTGGTGAATTTCGTGTCGCGGTCGCTGATGATCGCGGCTGGTATCCCGTGCAGTCGAACGGCGGTGGAGATGAAGAGGCGTGCTGTTTCTTCGGCTGTGATTGATTTTTTGCAGGCTGCAAAATGTGCCATTTTCGTCAGTCGATCGACGACGACCAGGATCGCGTCGTTCCCACTTGCCCCGGCTAGTAACCCCGTGACGAAGTCCATCGTCACCTGCTGCCAAGCCCGCTCTGGGGATGGTATCGGCTGCAACTGTCCCGCCGGCCGCTGTCGTGATGATTTCATGAGCTGACAAGTGGGACACGATGCCACGTGTCGTTGTACGTCGGTCAACATTTCGGGCCAGTAATAATACCGCTGCAGCTGCTGCCGTGTTTTTTCTACTCCGAAATGTGTCAAACTTATATGCTATAGTCTGGGTAGGCTGTAGCGGGGTAGACAATATGGGGTATAACACTTTTAGGTTTTCCTACTTGTACCCACCTGTTTGCCAGTCCATTCATTCCTTGTTCTTTCACATGGTATAGAGCAGGTTCCCTAGTGGGAAGGTTTCCTAGGGCCCACCGAAAATCGACTTTTGTTTTTTTCCTGCCCGGAGCGCGCTTTGCCCCTGCCCGAGTCGCGCCCCGTGTGCCTGCCCTCCCGTCGCGTCCCCTGCCCTTAGCGGCCCGTCGCGCTCCCTTACGGCCCCGTAGCGGCCCCTCTCTCGGCCCCTCACGACCCCTTTCACGGCCCTTCGCGGCCCCTTCAGGCCCTTCGCGGCCCCTTCGTGGCCCCTCGCGGCCCCTTCGCGACCCCGTCGCCGCCCTCCGCGGCCCCGTCGCCGCCCTTCGCGGCCCCGTCGCCAACCTTCGAAACCCCTCGCAGCCCCTTCTCGGCCCCGTCGCCGCCCTTCGCGACCCCGTCGCCGCCCGTCTCGGCCCCGTCGCCGCCCTTCGCGGCCCCGTCGCCACCCTTCTCGGCCCCGTAGCCACCCTTTGCGGCCCTTCTCGGCCTCGTCGCCACCCTTCGCGGCCCCTCACGGCCCCTTCGCGGCCCCGTCGCCGTCCTTCGCGGCCCCTTCACGGCCCTTCGTGGCCCCTTCACCGCCCTTGGCGGCCCCTTCTCGGCTCCTCCGCGGCCCCTTCTCGGCTCCCTCCCGGACCTGCCGCCCCGCCGTCGCCGCCCCTGCAGCAGCAGCCAATGCCGCTCCAGCAGCGGGAGCCGCCACCGCCGGTGCCGCCGACAGCAGGCAGCCACCGCCGCCACAGCAGGGGCCGCATCCGCCGCAGCAACCTACAGCAGCAGCAGCCGCCGACGGCAGCAGCCGCAGTCGCCACAGCCGGGGCCGCAGCCGCAATAGCCGCCGCCTGCAGCTGCCGTCGCCGTCGACAGCAGGGGCCGCCGCCGCTGTCCCGGCCCTGCCCTGCAGAGCGGAGCGGCGCTCCTCTGCCGCCCTGTAGCGGCCCCGTCCCTGCCGACGCGCCTCGGCCCTACCCCACCACTTGCGGCACTCTACCCACCTGCCCTGGTAAGAGCACCACCGAGCCGCGCCCCTCCTGTTGCTACTGCTGCTGCTGCCCCTAGCCTGCTGCCACTGCTGTCATGGCTACCCCTAGCGTTCTCGCCTTTGATGCTGAGGGTCGGGCTGTTGACTTTGAGGTCTGGGTCGATGATCTACAGCTTTTCCTACTGTGCGATAGGAAAGACGGTCTCTCACTGTTCAATCTCACGTTTGGCGCCTCTGCTGCCCCTGCTGCTGATGCTGACATCACTGTTCGCTCGTAGTGGGCCACACGCGATGCTGCTGCCCGTCTTGTTGTGCGTAGTCACCTGCCGTCCACTGAGCGCGCGCACTTTAGTCAGTACAAGAGTGCTAAGACCTTGTACGACGCTGTAGTTGCACGCTACTCTTCCCCTTCCACTGCTGCCCTTAGCCGCCTCATGCTGCCGTACCTGTTCCCTGACCTCGCCGCCTTTCCCACAGTCGCTGACCTCATTACGCACCTTCGCACTAGTGACACCCGCTACCGCGCTGCGCTTCCTGCTGAGTTCTGCGCCAAGAACCCCCCCCCCATGTACATCACCCTCTACTACATAGTCACCCGGCTCCCTGACTCCCTTCGCTCGGTCAGGGACCACTTCCTCTCTGTTTGCCCCACCACACTCACCGTTGACCTCCTCGAGGAGCGCCTCCTGGCAGCTGAGAAGAGTATAGTCGCTGTAGGAGCCTCTCGTGGTGACCCTCGTGCCCCCTTCTTTGAGGGGTGCTCCCCCTCCCCCCTTTTGCCCTCTGTTGCCTCTGCTTCTTCCGTCGACTTCGTTGGCACCGAGTCGGCCGGCGCTGCGTCTGCCCCTAGCGGGAGACGCCGCACCGGCAAGGGCAAGGGGGGCAAGGGAGCTAGAGGGGCTGGTGGGGGCGGTGGAGGTGGCGGTGGAGGCGGCGGAGGGAGTGGGGGTGGCGGTGGGAGTGGTGGCGGGGTTGGGGGCTTCGGTGGCAGCGGTGGAGGCGGAGGCGGCGGCGGCGGTGGCGGTGGGAGCGGAGGAGGAGGCGGTGGCGGCGGTGGCGGAGGTGGCGGCGACGGAGGTGGAGTTGGTCCTGGTGGCTCTCCGCAGCGGAGCGGCTTCAGTGGTGGTCAGCGCCAGCCGCAGCAACGCACTCGTGACACCCCGCCCCCCCAGCAGCTTCGTGAGTGGTACGCTGCGCGTCAGCAGGGTGGGGGTGCTGGTCCTTGTGCCTCCGTCCTGCGTACCGTCGACCGCACTGGTGAGCAGTGCGGTGGCCCGCACACCACCCAGCGCTGCTTCGGCCGCCTGACGGACGCTTGGCGTCTCTAGTTCCCTGACGCCACTGAGATCCCCCGCTGGGGTGAGCTGCTTAGGTCGGGGGCTGCTATCTTTGATCTGCATTATGATGCCATTCTTGCTGCCATGTATGTTGTGTCTACTAGTGATGAGGGTGACTGTTACCTGTGTCTCGCGCCTGACCCGGGCATTGACGCTGCTGCTCTAGGTGCTGGTGAGGCTGCTGCTCTAGGTGCTAGTGCGTCTGCTGCCCCAGGTACTGGTGAGTTTGCTCTCTCAGGGACTACGTCGGCTCAGGCCTTACACAACTTCACCCTTGACTCGGGTGCTTCCCGCTCCTTCTTTCCAGACCGCACCACGCTTACGCCGCTTAGTCGGCCAGTTGCGGTCTCCCTGGCGGACCCCTCTGGGGGTCCCGTCCTTGCCCGCTTCTCCACTGTCTTACCGTGTCCGGCGGCCCCCTCTGGCACCCTGTCCTGTCTCTACCTCCCCTCGTTCTCTACGAACTTGGTGAGTGGTGCTGATCTAGAGGATAGGGGGGTTGACCAGTTCACTCCTGCGAGTCAGCGGGTGACCCACTGTACGTGTGCTCGGACGGGCCGACACTTGGCCACGTTCACCCGTCAGCCGGGGTCGAGCCTGTACACACTGACTACTGAGTCTCCTCCGGTTGCTGAGTCTAGTCAGGTAGTTGTGTCGGGTCAGGTGTTTGCTGCGGCATCCAGGTCTGGTCCTGAGTCTGCTCCTTGCTCGTGTCGTCTCCTGTCCCACAGGA